TTAAAGCATTACTCCCTAGGAACTGCAACATTAACATGTATTTTGTTAATGTCACTGCTCACATTTTCTCATTGTATTTTTGTTTTTTCCCCTAAGGACGACTGAGGTGGGGTGTGAAAGTGACATGGAATTCCTTGCCAAAGTTCATTGTGTGCGGCAGGCATCAGAGGTTTGTAAACATACTTGCTTTTTTATTCATTTGTAGTGTGTTCCATTTATCAAGTGCTTTTGAAATGTGTTATTATGCTTGAAACGTTTCAAGTTCACCAATTGCTACATAGAACAGGGAGTTCTGAATTTATTGCCATACAAGCAGGGGTTTTGTTTATGATATTTTCCAGTACAGTTCTGACTCAACTTCATGTAACTTCACTAACCTTGTTATGCCATCATGGGTGACACAGACGACCTATACATGTATGTACATGCCTGTGATGAGTCATGTGTAGATAGTCAGCACATATGTACAAGTATGTGTACAGGAAAGAAAGTTTCTGTCAGTTCCTCATGTGTTTTGAATGCTATGAGACAACAAGTCAACAACAACAATCTTTAGAAGGGATTTTATAGCTGATAAAATGTAAATCAGATTTCTCAACTCTTATTATAGATGGTGTTTTCATTATCTGACACCCGTCAGTGGTTTATTGACAGTGGAAGGCAAGCTGTGTCTGCTGTCATTGAAAGTGCAGGCAAGGTACATGAAATCCTAGAAATAAAAAAGCTTCTTTCCTTAATAAAAGTGTTCACAGCTGTAATGAACAAATTAATATACATGTACATAAACTGTACCTCCTTTGTTGAGATTTGAGGCTGCTCTTCTCACATGTATAAATTAACATGTGTCTGCCTTGTTGTTGATAATGAATTTCGTCATAACATTGTCAAAGTATCGCCTTGTGGATTCGGAGACTACTTTGACAATGTTATGACAAAATTCATAGTCAATAATAGGACAGATACATAAAAAACTGATGCCAATTTGTTTTTTACGATAACAAATTGTCAAATTGTCTGCTCTCACTCATTGCTGCGTCACATAAATTATAAATTCATGTGTCTGTCCACACTTATTAACAATGAAAATTAGCCAATGAGTGTGTGAGAATTATTGCAGTTATTGTAGAATACCTAGTTGAATAGGCTCGATTTCCGCCGCTTTCTCGAGTCCGGTCTACGTTCCTCCCCGAGAAGAGACAGCTGGACGCGTGAGCGGCAAAGCATGTCTGTGACATAACTTCATAATGTTTTCTTGCGGCGCTTCAGGTGGCCGGAAATGTCATCTGATGACAATCATAGGCAGGCCCACATGACGCCTACGGCTCGTAAAATTTGTGGTGTTTTCGCCACTTCTTTTGACTTTGGCCCTCCAACCTATTTTGTTTCACATTATTGCTGCGGAAGGGCATTACATGCTGTGTTCTATAGAAGAGTAGTCTTTTTTTTTTTTAAGTATTGCAGAGCTGTTTGATTATGCTGTAGCAACTGTCATGTCAAAGATCACACATATTGGTGTGCATGGTGTTGACACCAGGTTTATGTTTTGCTAGCTCGGTTTACTTTGGCTCATTTAAAAATTTAATTTTGTCTGGCGTCTTCGCCAGAGACTGTTGTTTCTTCTCTTCAAGAAGACTAAGGTACACATCAATTTGACTGAGTTTTTTGTTTCTTGAAATCGATGTTTGCGTTTATCCCTCCCTTTGTTTACTTTGTTCGTTTTCTCATATTCTGGCACCACATGATTTAAATATAGATGCTAACGTATAAGTCTGTTGACTATTTTGCGTGTTGTATATGCCACTATGGTTTAGATCAGGCAAGATTTCATCAGTTGACGGTATTTGGTTAAATATCCCACTAATGCAATCGCACTTCATATCGCACAACTCCTTTGCTGCTGCGAGAAAGCTAATTTATGCAGCCTGCTCGATTCAGGCAGGCAGATTTCTTATTGGTTGAAATTAACAATGCCAAGTCCACGAGTCCAGCCTTAAGTTCGGGGGAGGAGCACGGGCTCTTTTCCCGAACAGCGGCTGGTAATCGAGCCTACTAGTTGAATGCTTCAATAGAAAACTTCCAACCATCCAATGTACTATTAATTAATGTTAGTAATATATTTCCATGTGGTCTGTATACAATGTATATATAGTTAGAAATATCATAATCAAGCAAAAACTAAGACCTTAATATGATCAGTGCTCATGTTTCATCATCAATTTCTGCAGGACCCATCAGATTTCCAAGCGGCATTTGATGAACTTGTAGACTACACATCATCAGCAGAGAACTGGAGGCAAATCAAAGATGAACTCACTGAAAGAGGGGTTAGGAGTAGCTTTGCTATATTGTTTCTTAACTTAGAAATATGTCATTGTAATTTTTTTGCAATGGAATGTAAGGCACAGGATCCAATAAATTATTTTTAAAAGTATAAGAGAATAACCTTGAACATATCCTCCATGCCCTGCCTTTGTGCTCAATCAATATCATTTTATATTTTTGTTATTGGGCAGCGTGGGTGGCTGGACCCAAAATCATAAGTGGGTTGAGTTTGTTTTCACTTGACAATCCTTCCCTGAGGATTTTTCCTTAAATTATCTGGTTTTTGTTCCTCTTCAAACCAACACATTCCAAATTCCTATTCATCCTGGAAACAGTGGATGTCCCTCAATTCCCTTCAAGTTATGGAAAGACTATTTTCTGGTACAACAAATGAAGTGATGCCCTACATGGCTGTTTTCTGTTGCCTTCAGGTGATCGACCTGTCTTTCTATGATGTATTGCTGGACTTTGTGTTGTTAGATGCATTTGATGACTTAGCCACCCCACCCTACTCAGTAGCCACTGCTGTTCAAAACAGGTGGCTGTCAGCACGCATCAAGGAGACTGTAAGTGACAGCCTGCTGCCTCTCATATTGTATGTCATTTGTGTTTCAGTGTTTGATAAGTTACATGTACATCTCTTTACGTCAAATCTAATTGTGCCATCAGGGATAAATGCTATAAAGTGATGCCCCAAGAGAAACTCTGTCATGACAAGCTAATGTTAAATTATCTGTAACATCTCTCTGTTATTTTGGGAACTCTCATTTTGGTTGATGTTGTCCTCACATGGAGGCTCCTTATTGTCTTTTGAAGTTTTAGAGTTTCTTTTAATTAGTATAAAATTAAAGCAGCATGGCTTTTCTGTTGTGATCTGTGGTATACGGTACAGTACTTGTATATGTACTTTATGTTATTGTAATGCTGTGTTATTGTCTATAGGCTCTCACCACAGCTATCTGGGGAGTCCTAAAGGCCAAGTCCTCTTATCTTCAGGTTTGCACTTTAATAATACAGTAACAATCATAAACCACTACTTGTTTGTTGTTTTCATGATAAATATTTCCTGCTCACTAAACTTTCTGCATCTTTCCCTACAAAGAGCCTGCTGACAGGCTAGACCTTTCAGTGCACTGTTAGGGACATTTACATTGTAGATCTGGTAGCTTCCTGTTTGTTTATTTATTTACAGTGTTCCCAATTAGAACAACTGGGCTAAATACATTTCATACCTAAATAAAGTTATGTATTGATTGTTATTATTTTTATCTCGTACCATATTTAAATTCTATCCTATTTTTAAATTATGTGGAGCAACAACCAGGTTGACTTGCTGGGGCTTTTTCTACACTAAGTGCATATTGCACGTTTCACATGTGTTATAAGTTTATATAAACTTATAATGTAGTAATGTAAAGGTGTGTTTCACGGTGCAGGACCCGTACGGTTTCATGGCACATTTCTATGTAGTGGCACAGTACGTGTCGCCAGTTCTTGCTTGGGGCTTCTTAGGATCAGATGAAAATTTGAAAGAAGTCTGTGAATATTTCAAGGTATGTACAGTGCATAATCGTACGTATATTATAGTTAAGTTGTACTTTATTTGTCGTTGCTGATTACGTGGTGTATTTAGTTTGCTTCATGTATGTCACACTCCAGTGGATTGTCATTCAACAAAAAAGGCTTGAAATGAGAGAAGTAAACGACAAAGGAACTCCTCTCATTTTTCTATTTCCCGTTTGTCTGTTCTCTCGTCTTTTATTGTAATTATGTGATGCTAATGTGTTAGTGAAACGTGTTCATTGAGACTGCGTTGCACGAGTTTTATCTGTGAGCAAACTCAAAATTGCTTTGGCATTCATTTTTAAAGTGCTTGCAGCAGCTTTCCCATACATGTAGCCCTCAACGAGTTTGTTTGTTTTTTTTCTTTTTCATTAGAGTCACATCCTGGGTTTCATCAGAGACATCTTTGACTTCAACACCTCAGATTATTCATCGGTTGAAAGCTTGTGTGACTCGATTGTCAGATTAGCAAAAGGAAGGAGCGAACAGCTGTTAAGAAGCCATGGTTATGAAGCAGACATCGTGCAAACTGCATCTTCCTTTGATGAGACGCTGAATTTTACGAGCCAAGAACTGCAGCAAGTTGGACAGTCGTAAAGAGGGACACCGTGAATTATTCTTCTTCAATTTTTATTGTATATAAAACCAGTGGACATCAGGCCATTATTTACCGTTATCATGTATATATTTGTAATTACCAGTAGAGCCGGAATGCGCTAGCTTTAAGCACTTGTGACAGAATCACAGTTAAATGTTACTTCAACACAGCGAGATAATTTATATTTAGTGTTACAGAGTTCACGGGTTGTTTAATGATTATCAAATCCTCAGTTATATTTTTTGGTCGTCTTTTGGCTGTTTTGCGAGGCAAAAGCCAAGTTAGTGATAAATTTAAAAACGTAAACGAGCATTTTTTATTTTAGGGAATTAAAAGTGCGTTTAGATGTAACTGTTCCCCTACTCTTTGTTTTAGTTCAATGCTCTTCAACGAAGTTTTGAAACATAAAAGTGACTTTGTGCCTTTAAGCGTATTTTGACTACACTTTGTGGGATTTCCACCACACTTGTTCTGTATTAAAGAAGTCCAGAAAACTTAACGATTGTTTTAATTGTTTGATCTAAAACTGGCTGCGAGTTTCTCACTACTGAATGTTCGGCTATATGAGTTGCTGATGAATCTGTAGGTGTTAGGCTGCAGTGCAAAATTACGGCTTGATCATGGCAAGTGGTAACTTCCACTCCAGCTCACTTTGTTCTCCACTCGAGCTCTGCCAGTAAAGGTTTTTAAGGATGTGGTGCTACTTGCAAATGCTTTGACAAAAGAGAAAATAAAAATACCTTTGTTACCCAACGGGGAAAATCAGAAACAACGAAAACATAAGCAGTTTGCCATAACATACATGTAAGCATAAATGATGCACAAATTTAGTCAAGTACACTGAAGATTAACACAGCAAATTTGAAATGTTTTTCAAAATGTCAATGACCTCTTAATTGAAACTGCGAGAGTTGGGACTTCATATCCTTCGTTTGTGAACGTGGCTCATATCGCGAAAAAATAACGGACTGAATCGATTTCTAGCTTGGGGTAGACTACGAGCAGTCTAAAAGTTGAAGTTATTCAAGTTAGGGAACGAAACGATGAGAGAATCAGGTTTTCTGCATTCGCGTGGCATGCTAGGAAAAGAAAGAGACTGCTCGAAGTCTCGCAGTCTAAGCTTCGGGTGACTTTCAGGTTTTGCCGTGACTTGTCTCTGCATGGCTAAAACATAGATTTGCTTTGTAAGAATTTTTTGCACCTGCAGTATTTTGGTTGTTATTGTTATCATGTGTTTTTCTTTTATTATGTTTCACCTTGAGTATTTGCTGTTGTTTCTTTGCCCTCGCATCTTGTTCACAGAACAACTTGCTGTCAATGACGCAATACTTGTCACCAGTCTTCAAGAGGCGCTTGCACGTGGTACAGACAAAGCAAGTGTCGTGATACACATTCTGACCTGCGCGTAAAACCATGGCTTTAGCAGGAATTTGTTTGGCACAAGCTGTGCATACTCTGTATAACCTGCAACAGTTTCATAGCGCAACGTAAGCATTCAAATCGCTTTATTTTATTTTTATTTTTATTTTTTTGTCTCATTGCCTGAGGCAAACCCACTAATAAGTCAAATGGAAGCGGTTGTCTGAATAATAACCTCCACTTGGCGCGAAAATACGCAGATTTTATCTGTAGACGTTATCTCTTCTGAGAAGCGCTGTGGAAGGAATACTGAGGAACACCTTTTTTGGGGGAGTGTCCCCAATTAGCCCACATGGGCTAAATACATAGACACTTAAATAAAGTTCTTACTTACCTACTTACTTAGCACCTTCACAGGGTGTCCTGGTATTAGACAGACATTTGACTAACATTTATTACTACCATAAAGGCTTAGAATAGCTTGGTTGTTAATTAACCATCTTTTGAGTTCAGTTACTGAATAAGATTGAAGCCAATAAAGTCCCAAATCATAGCTGATAAAATTTTTCCAAGTTATTTTTGTTTTCTTTTGTTTGTTTATTTGCTGTTTTTATCCTCGACGACACTATGTTCATGAACGTTTTATGTTATTTTGTGTTCTACGTAGCCACAGAGCATCAATTTTGTTGTCTTTTCGTGTTTAAGTCTTTTGTTTTTAATTTCAATTATATTGCGCATATTTGTTATTGTTGATAATTTAGCCAGTTATTTTCGTTTTCATTTTTCGTCTCTTGTTTCCATTGTACCGTGTAGCGTCTTGTGCTGTTGGCCCAGAGGGGAGCTCCCATACAAAAACAACGGGGGTGCCCGTCGCACCTTGCAGGGGTTAAAAACCCAGTTTAGGTACCTCTTGGGGTGTTCAGCCTCAAAAGGTCCACAGCGGGAAGTTTTGCGCTACTTTTTAGGGAATTGAACCCAAGACTATATGACAGGATCTTGCTACCTCTTAGCGGTTCTTTTCAAATTTCCGACGAGCACCCCCGTCCTCTAGCCCTTTATAGAGAAATACCCCCGGACTGTTGGTTTTCTAGTTGTTGTTGTTCGGTGTGTTTTAGTCATCGTAGTTGCCACACAAATCGAGCAAGTTTCGTTAGTTTTTGGTTATTTTTTTCCTGCTTTATTTTTAGTTCGTTTCCTGTTCTTTATGTTTGGCTTGTTTTTATTTGTTTCAGCGAATCGCTAGTTCAAGTGCAGGAAACCGAGACTGTGGAATTCGACCATATTGTATTGCATTGTATTGTACTCTGTTGTACTCTGATTGCAGCACTGAACGTACATTTTCCTCAGACCCCGCCAAGTTTCCGAAAGATAGCAAAAAATGTAGGCAATTTCTCAGAGCAAACAAAACAAATTGCTTGTAAGCGTTTCCTATGACACTTTGCTCAACTGTAAAATACATGCAAAGCAAAGCTCACTGGGTAATCTACAAGTAGCGCTTTTCACAGATGACATATCTTCAGATAACAGCAAAATGCGTTTTTTTTGTTTTAAAAAATAATAACAATATAAAACAAATCAGTTAACTAATTATACCAAGTGCCGCTGGATTTAGCACTGCTGTGCTAATTATGGAACTGTAATATAAACGAACAACTAATTCAGTGGACAGTGAACACAAGGGTTGGGAAGAACAGTTGGCTATTTACTGCTGAACACGGTGGAAAACTTTAACTTGGAACTTAATCCTGACACAGATCTATGGTGGCAAGGTGGAGCCATGGAGACTTGAAAGAGGGACCTCCAGAGTTCAAATTCAGCGCCCTAAGTCGCTCTGCCGAGTCGCCCCTAAATTTATGTATTGATCAAAATAATAAAAAAAATATGGAATCGACAGCAGTTTTAGTTCATGATGTTTGCAGCTAGTGAGGACCTATTTTATGCACAATGTTGGTTGTCCTTAATTGATTGACTTTCTGCAAACATTGCAAGTTACAGGGGTTGAGGTTTTTCTTTACGCTAAAAGTGGTTCTGTAAGACGTTTTCCAGCCTGTAGTCGAATTGCTTTTTGCGTTTTAGAAATTTACATTTTTCGTAGCAGTTCCTAAACAGGCAGGATCCATGTGTCCGTGAACACACCACTAGTTCAGTTTTGACAGCCGCTCTCGACAAAGATTTTCAAACCGACTATCAGAACGACTTAAATAGCTAGTTACCTGGTGTAATCATTTTTGCACAATATGGAGCTTCCTTTAACAAAACACGACTTGCCGACTTGATCCAGAACCACTCCGCACTGAGAACACTTCAAGCAGTTTGTATGCCAGTACTTCTCCACTGCAAGCAGCAGATACCGCTCCCTTATTTCTCCTTTACATCCTGCACAAATCTCGGCATAACTCAGTTTTGAGGCGCTCATCCTCACGATTGGTAGTGTTAAAGTAATATACGCAGTTAATACTGTTCAGTGAAAAACACTCAAGAGACTAAATTTGCTGAAATTATTTATCTGACGAAAGAGACATTACAAACCCGTGGAACAGACTTAAAAAACAACCAAATCGACGAAAACAAAATATAACTATAAACAAACAAAAAGGTACTTCTTTGGAATGAGTGACACGCTCGAGTTTTGCGTTCATTGTCTTAGTTCAATTTTACTTTTACTTTTCGTAAGAAAATAGCACGAGAATCAAGTCTGTCACATTGCTGTATATATTTTCCTTCTTCATTTCATCACGATGAGAATAATTTAAATTAAGACGAATTTAAAGAGGAATCAGTAAGTAACAGTAACAGTTACAGTCAAAACAAATTCGTGCAAGAGTGTCTGATTGGAAGGTCCTCTGTAACCAGAGAAAGTCATTGCGGCTTTCCGTGAAGCAAAGGTTAAAGGTTCAAAGTAGTGCGTGCAAAACAACAGAGAGCTTATCAAACTCGAGAAAATAAAATCTCTCGTGACGTCATTAATTATCAGTGGATAATTGAAGAAGCGTGAACACCGAAGTATACATGCATATGTGAATGGCTATATTTTTGCCAGCTCTGCTGAAAGACAAGTGGACACACAATGAACGTTTAACTTTACTTTGCTGCAAATTAGCTATCAATTGAAAAACAAAAACAATTAAGCTCAGACTGTTTGAAACTAAAACAAGGAAAGAGAGTGTCAACAGAGCTTATGACAAACATATCACTACAGCCAATAACAAAATGTTTTTTATTTTTCCCGTCATAGTCAGCCGCTGACTATCAAACTCGTCGCACACTAGTTAGTCGTTAAAATTTCCAGAGAATAGTTCTAACTGCTGTGTAATAAAAGCAACATTTTCAGCTACGAAAAAAAGTGACATTAAGTTTCCCGTTCAAGAAATACAATTGGCCAAAATTAGAAACACTTACAAATTAAAGTAGGAGTAGTAATACAGAGTTTCATCGCAGGCATCCCGGAAGAAATTTAGCTCATTAACCAACCCTTCGTGGAAAATGAGAAGCGACTTCTCTTTATCCTCTGGAGTGAAGAAGAAGTCAACAAACTTCTCCAGCCTGCTTTTGTCGTTTGTGTCAGGCTTGTTGTCTTCAAACCAGCCATAATAAGGGTTCTTCTCGTCAACTGAATCAATGAGCTCACTGGCAATCCAAGGCCAGAGCATGGTGCATGGCAACATGGCTATACATAGGAACTTGGCATCTTGCCGGCTCAGAGCAGACTCGTAGCCCACATACATCTCGGCTGCTGGGCCCATCACCACGCTCTCAGTATTCTTAAGTCGCCAGGTTTTAACAAACTCTTGGTTGTAGCTCTTGTAGGTCTCCGACTGCACCCTGTAAAGTAAAGAAAATTCAGGTTTTCCTTGTACTTGCATCTGTTGAGCAGCGTAGTCAAATGCTCCGACTGCATTGAAGCAGTAGGCAGCATCTTGCACCATGTAACCACCATAGTCATCCGGATCAAGAGTTCCTGTAGCCATGCCTTGAATAAACTTGCTCTCTTTGGCAGCATTTCGGATTTTCATACTTGTCTCATTGTTGAACAAGTCTTGGCTGAAAGAGCTTCGTCCTGGGAAAGATTCCTCTTGTGGTAAGACGTTGAAGTTAAATTTGATCTTCCTCGGGCTTTTGAGGTTTCGTCTACTTCTTTCTGAAAAGGAACACAAGGTCAGTTGGAAAATTGATAACAGTGATTCTGTGACTGACATATCCTCATATGTAAGAGAATGTCCATATAGCACTCAATTGTACTTTAATTTAATTGTTGGCCTGAATAAAGCTTCTGGATAAAAGCTGTTACGTATTCCTCCAAAGAAACGGATTAAATCATCTTAGACCAAATTGGTATCGGATCAAATTCTTACAAGATCTGAGAAAGATCTTAAAAAACAAAAAATGGATGAAAGCAAACGTCTACAGACATTACCAGCAGATAACGACGTTAAAAGCCGAGACCAAAGATTTAGAAAGTCTCCGAAAGTCTCGAAAACTTTCAGAGGTGCAACAGAGAAACCTCACATGCTGTGAAAGTCACGGTGAAATGATACGCTCCAGCCACGGTGAGGACATGTGAAAGAAGCAAAAGGGTCCGTCTGTCCGTTTGTTCGTCCGTATGTCTTTCTCTCTGTCAGTCAGTCAGTCAGTCAGTCTGTCAGTCTGTCAGTCAGTCAGTCAGTCAGTCTGTCAGTCTGTCAGTCAGTCAGTCAGTCAGTCTGTCAGTCAGTCAGTCAGTCAGTCGGTCGGTCAGTCGGTCGGTCAGTCGGTCGGTCAGTTTGTCAGTCAGTCAGTTTGTCAGTCAGTCAGTCAGTTAGTCAGTCAGTCAGTCAGTCAGTCAGTCAGTCTATTTGTCTGTCTGTCTAGTCTGCTTTATTTGCTTTTTTGAGTCCATTTGAGATGTGAGACATTAGGAGGACAGAAATTAGCAATCTTCAACCAAGTTACTCAAACTCAAGTAGGAGTTAAGTATAAGGTTTCAACAACTTGCGGGAAAGGGTCTAGAGAGTAAAACGTGAACACTTTTTGGCTTCAGGGGTGGGGTGGGGGGAACCTCTCAAAGAAGATGGGGGCTACTCGAATACGCAAATACAGCCCTATTGCAAATGATTGAATTGATACCTTAATGCGTGTTTGAAGGTGAAATGCATTTTTGTTTTCATTGTAAACTATTCGATTCAGGAAATTCTCTTTTTGAGAAAATCAATGAACAAAATGGACTATTTATGCATTTCATTTAATTATGCTAGGAAAGTATTATTTCTTTTCAGTAGTACTGATCATATATATCTGACTTAGATTAACTGCTTGTTTTGTTTTTGGCCATGGAGAATAGAGAATAATTCAGATGTATCAATTCTGCAACTGTGATCAATTCACAAATCCACCTACTTTTCTTAAACATATTTCTTAATTGTCATCTTAACCCCACTATTATTTAACTTGTTGTTTATTGCCATGCATTGTTTCGGTAACTGATCATGCATAGAAACGGGAATATAGGATCTCGTGGCATCTCCGGTATCTCAGCGGGTTTCGAATATTTGTCACGGCCCATGGACCAAGCGTGACTCCTAAGGGAGAAATTTGCATCAATCTAAATAACTACTTACCTCTGATACGACTCATTGCAGCAGTTTTGTTATGCCAGAGAAGAAATCAACTGAAAGAGAATAAATGACATTTGAAATGACAAAACTCATGCTTTTTAAAAACGCGAATTGCATCATGCTCACTGCCTTGCCAGATGGGTCTGGAGATGGTGTGACCGATTGAACGGTGAAATATTGAGATGAACAATGCCATGGTTTCAGGATGCATGTTCTTGATTTGAGCGACTCAAGTTAAAAAAGGCGGCTGGAATCTTAACTTTGTCAAACAATATGAAGTATCGTAATACATTATATCTAGGAGCTCGGGTGTGTTAGTCGGTTTTCACAGACAGGGCGCTTGTTTTGCAAGTCACACGAGTTTATGAATCATGAGTCAAAAGTCAATAAGTCGACAAGCCTCAATATATTATAAGGCGGTGACGCACTACATAGCCCGAGTAGAAAGAGTAAAAAACGACAGGTTAGCCCGTTTACCGTTAACTTTTAGTAATGGCGATGCTTATAAAAATACAAACGAGCTCATTGACTGGTTTATTTGTTTCATTAACACTTCTGTTTCGATCCGAGATCAATTTCCATTAAGAAAGAGGAGTACATCTGTAAAATACCATCTATACATCAGTATATAAACTAAATCCATCGATTGGAAATGTGATTTCTTCACTTACCGCGAGGTTTTATATCCGTCAGTGTACTCCGATATGTCTTGTGCAATTCAGGCTGATAATATAAACCCTCTAACGCTGTCTGAATCAGGGTTGAATATTCCGTGTTGAGAACAATGGTAGTCGTGCAGACGTACGTGACGTCACTTCACTTGACAACCGACCAGCAGTCATATGCAACAGGGCTTTTTATTTAAAATGTTGGTAATAACTCTTGCATTATAAAATTATTCGGCGTTTAGCACAAAAACTGCGAGCTGCGTTATGTGTCAACATTCAGCAGGGCAAGAGCAGGGCAAGAAGTTGCACAACATTTCTGTAAAATGAAATTGCACACACCTTACCGGATTAGCAACTCCATTCAAGTTTATTCATCAAGATGGCTGCTTATTGTCCGTTTGTGGACCGAGTACATTATGTCTATTACTGATGTCGTAATCATCTCCGCTTTTACTCGATATTTTGTTATACAAGTCGACTCCTAATTATTCAGCTAAAACTGATGCATTTTCTCGCATACAAGTAGAAAGTTTTAATTGAGAAATTTTAAAACAAATATATACAGTAGAGTAAATAAAATTACAGCTAATGTACATATTGCAGCTTTACCAGGTTTTTCAATTTTCACTAATCATAACATATTTTGACTAATCATAACAGGGCTGACCAATCAGTCATTTCACCTCGCCCTCTCTGGTTGGACAATAAGAAATATTACTGAATGTTTTATATGCATCAATGACGCTTACATAACGGCATTTTATTTGGGATCGATCCACGCAGCTGCCAATCATTAAAACAAAGAGTTTTTTCTTTTGTGCTAGGCAACTTTGAAATACAAAAGGTCTGTTTTTTAATGTTTGTAAACAGCAACTATGATGTTGACTCGGGTCCTGCTTTTGATTACCATGACCTTTGCTGGACGTGATTTCATTCATTTCATTTTTAAACGAAATCCTTCCCGCTTATCACGTCCGCCTAAATACGTCAGCGTGCTATTGCAGAAACTGCACGTAACAGCTAAGACAATACTAGTTCAAATGTTTTCCTGAAGGTTTTAAATCATAAATGAAATTACAAGCTGTCCGTTTGCTTAATGGACTAGCTCTAGGAACTTTTGGGCTCAAATTACTCATTTGTATGAAACTGCCATTCATTAATACAGGAGGAACACGTGAAACCCTCACGGAATTCTTCCGCCACAGACAACGGCGAAGATTTTTTCTAAAATTTTTATCACAGAACGCGTAAATAAACGGGTAAAATATTGAGCTTGTCTGGGAGATGCAATCAAACAAGGGCCTTATAGGGAGCTTTTGATAAGTTATCCTGCCCTTTTTAGCTGGGTAAGATGCAAATATATCGAGAATCATTATTGGGCCCCAGCTAAGAAGAAAACTGAAAACTACCAGGACAAACATCTGAGTTGCTTTAAGCTTCGCCTTTGCACAGCTACTGTTTATGCTGTTGTTCGTCTTTGTCCTTTTCCACAGAAAGACTGTTATCTTGGTGTAGGCAAATGTGATCACAATTAGCGGTACCACAAATGCGAACACAAAATACACCGTAAAGGCAACCTTCCGCTCCAGTGAATCGGGTTTCCCAGGAGTGCAGTGTCTATGGAACGGTTTGGAATCTGAACTAACTGCTGTATCGTTGCTGGTCAAGTTTGATGAAGAATTTGAAAGATGATACAGCTGACTGCGGAGTTTGATATGAGGAGAGAGTGAAGCGCTGCCGATAAAGCCCGAGCAAATTACCAGAGCATAAAACCAGATGAAAATTACAATGATATATTTCCTGGTCTTAATTGTCAGGGCTCGGAGAGGAAATAAAATGTGGATGTAGCGATCGATGGCAATTCCTGTGAGAAGCACAAAAGTTACCGCGGCACATGTAAACTGCGAGAATATAACCAGTTGGCAGTGAACTGTATTAGATGAGTACAAGTTTTCGCGGTCTTTAGTCTGTTGAAGGAAAGTCATTGCTCTGAACACGAGATCCGTGATGGACAAATGAAGGATAAAAAAGTTGGATAGTTTTGTGGGCGATCGGCCAATTTTACCTTTGGCCAAAACACAGCAAACAATGATATTCTCCACAGCTCCTAGAACCACAAAGGTACAGCTTATGTGAAACAAGGTTGAGAAGTATGTTTCTCGATCGCTCCTGAATGTTTTTTCCTGGAGCAAGTAATCATTGAACGTTGAAACGTTGACAGGCATGTTTCCGAGCAGGTACTGGTCTATTCCAGACAGGACTATCTCGCAACTCCTTGTTTGTGACCAATGCTTCACTGTTTCTATGTGAATCCAGAATCTTATCTGTGTTGGTGGCCTCTCTTCTTTTTATTGCGACGTCCACAGTTAGCTGCATTAAATGGTAATACACCCTGTCTTAATAACATACTTTCATTTGAACTGTAGGTTATTTGCATTAGAATACTGCAAAAGGCTATTGGTTGATCGGCTAGTAGATAAATACTCTATTAATTAAAAACTAGTTTTTGCTCTTATCAGTCCTGTTTTAAAATGTTAGATATGTTTGTAGTGTTTTCTTCTCGGAGAGAAGTTCTGCAAACGCCACTAGTTTAATCCGGCTAACCTTACATTGCAGTCTCTGCGGGTAGTGTTAAAATACAGGATGCGATACAGCACTAAAGATTTGAGTTTCAGCAAGCTTTAGTTTAGACAGTGCAGCGTTGTTTATAGATTCACGACTCACTCAATAAACAGAAAGTAACTAGTCCTTTGAGAAGGTAACTTTGCAGTCACAGCTGTTCATTTGTTAACTTTTCAACGGTAAACAAAAAATCTGAAATCCAGATGTCACTCGATTGCCACCGACGACTGTCACTCAAAAAGGGGCATTTTCTTTATACGAGTGTGAGAGTATAACCTAACGATCAAGCAGCCGTGAGATTGTTTAAATAAAGCTGACAGAGAAAACATAATTCGCACGTTTTACTGAGTGACAAAGCCAAAAAAGGCACATAAAATTAAAAAGATTTAAGTACATAGTGAGAAAACAAACGACCTGAAACAACGGTTGCGTTTGCAGCTGAGCCTACCTTATTTAAAAATCATGTGCTCCTAAGAAAACGGAAACACGTTCACAAAATTTGCTTTATTTTCTGATTGCGTTGCGATAATTTTAGCTCTTTTTTCCATCACCGGCTGCTGACACTAGGCTACTTCCTAGGCGGCCAGTAACAATGATAACGATAATAGTACAAATTAGGAGATGGTTTCTAAATCAAATACATATATGCAAAACTAAATGATTCTCTGTACGGCTGGTATATACAGTGAAATGCAGGTTCCTGTATCTGCGCGAAACGGGCAAAAGTTTGGTCGATACAGTGGGTGTTAAAAACGGAAAATTTTTAACCGTTTAACGTAAAAAATGTGAAACACTTTTTACCGTGTGATAACGCAGCTAGAGGGAGTTATAACAGTTATTAAAGGAAAAAAGATCACTTGCTCGGTCGATGAGTTGTAATTTTTTATTGGAGGGGGGGGGGGGGGGGGGTAATTTCGCTGACCAGTCTAATTCGCGAGAGGATCGAGAGGAGCTACATCTGCCCGGCATTAACTGTGAACAAAATGGCTGCCCGGTCTTCCGTGTTTGGAGTTGATCTACTGCTCCCAAGCTAGACACTATTCGGTATATAACATAGCCGTAGATGTATAATTTGATCGATCGATAGCTTTGGCGGCTTTTAACCGAAGCTTTGCCAATTGAAAAGTCATGTGCGAGGCTTTCACTCTCGAAAAGTGTTTTTTCTCCGCGAGTTATTGCAAATCCCCATACTGTCTTTATTTTCCAATGCCTATATAAACACAAACCATCCGTTAGTAGCTCGGAGAAATTTAAAAGGTTCCATTAACTGCCAGGATCGAAACCTGTAACTTTCAGATTTTCCCATCTAATCTTACCATTTCTCTAACGTGCAACTGATGAAACTTCAAAAAGTAGCCACCCTAAAGAAGGGAGCCCTCCGAAAGTAGCGAGGAACCCCCCGAATATAGTGAGACCAAGGTTTAGTGTAAGTTCCCTTTAACAGTGACCATGGGTTAAGCGGACTACATATGGATATTTATGTGACTAGCTATGGACAATCAGCATCCCAGTTTTGTGCATAAAAAACTGATTTGGGAATCAATTCCACTTAGCCTAAAAAACGTACGATATAATCCCCTTAAGAAGCAGTATTAATTAGCAGCACCTCTTAAATACTCAAAATAAAGTTAATAATAGTCACTGGCTTGTATTTCTGTAATTTATTTTCAGTAATGCATTTTCCTGGTATTTTCTTCTGTAATATGTTTTTGTTCCACCACATTTAGCTCAACATGGTGGCAACCAGGTCGAAAGCCATTGGCTACTCTGGTTACCACGCACATAATTTTTTTTTTTCTTTCCATCATAGCCATATACAACATATATTTCTCTTTTTATGTGTATTTATAGGAAAAGCCAAAGCCAAGACAATTTCAAAACTCTCGGCAAAGGATGGCGTGGGTAACCCTCCTGTTAGGGAAACAGGCCTTAATTTTCACGCATGTCATGTTCTTTATCAACCGTATAAGGGGATGTGTGCACGAAGGGGGAAAGATCGTCGAAGATCCTAGAAGGAAGATCATCTCAACGCTATGTGTTTCCTGTATTCAGTTTACATGCAAAGGCCCAGGCGCTAGGATCTTCCTAGAACTAGGATTTCCATGGCTGAGAGATCGTTAGATCAAGTATGTAAACTGCATTCGCTCTGCAAAGATCCTACTAGTCCCACTATAAGGTTAAGCAAAAAAATAAACAGATAAACAAACATTCTCCAATTGATAACCACCTCGACAGAAATTTCTGTTTGCAAACCAAACAAAAGGTTGCTTCGCCTTCTATGATCTTTTTGGTGTGGGAATCTTCCTCCCTCCGTAATATTGACAAGACCCTGACATGACGAAGAAACCATCTTGTACTGATGACATGTGCACTCCGCCTCGTGTAAGGTCAACCAGCGGAATACGTGCTGCACGTGCGTGCACTGTTGGGTATTGCATGCTGTCACCCAGCTGATCACATGCTGCACGTGAGTGTACTGCTAAGTATAGCGTGCTGTCACCCAGGTAATCACGTGCTGCTCGTGCATGCACTGCTGGTTATTGCGTGCTGTCACCCACCAGATCACGTGCTACGCGTGCTTGCACTGTCAGCTTCTTCTACATTGCTCTTGTCACGTGGGGGCCATTAAAGTCCAGTTTATTCTGATTAGGTTTTTGTCTGAACAGAAGTTAGTGATTGCGGTCGACATTACGGTGGCCCAAAGCCAATGAAAAATTATTTCTTTTGGTCTTGCTTTCAAGTCGCCGCGGGTTTCTGGAGTAAACGGACTGAGAGGAAGACTATTCAGGCAGCTTGATGTTTTGGAAAATTGCGATTTGTATGAAATTATTGGAATACATTTTTCCAATGGGAAATCGCCGAACTGGATTGTTTCAGGCATAGAACTGAGTATTGTCTCAAGAAAATAGCGAGGAAACCACAGGGCTCAGCCAAAAATGCTATGAACATTTCAGTAAACCTAAATTCTATAAATATCTTAATATTTTTTAAATGTCTGGGAAACGTCTAAATATGCCGAAAAATATCCGGATATTTGTGGAAAAGCCTAGATCATATCGATAGATAGGTCCTTCGAAATTATACGTCATAGACGAGTCGAGTACATGAAAAATAAAGGTTGGTCCAGCAGCTACACGTAATGTTTATCATAGTTAATGTCAAAGACCTCTCTCTGATAAGCTCTTGTTTTGAGAACCAAACTTAAACGCAAATATCTTACTTGGATTCGACTTTACCTCATTGTGCTAGCATTTTATTCAGGCATTTTAGTAAGGCGAGCATTAAAGGGCCCTAGTCAGCCATAACTTTGTCTTTGTTTACATGCAAGTGTTTGGCTATTATATTTTATTCGGAGCATGTCGAAACGAAGGAAATCACTGTGAAACCACTAAGGATAATTAGACATACTTTCAGGAACACAGTAAAGCAATAAGATTTCGCTTCACCATGCAATATCAATAATTTCCATGGCATCGAAACTGGCGGAGGCTGACTAGGACGACTAGGGACCTTTAATGACTCCGTCAATTCCAAGCCTGCTTATCACCTCCCCCGGGGAGTATCGGGCATTTGTAATTATTTTTTTGAAACAAATGTCGCAAATACCCCACGGGTGGGGGCTAGATCAGACTATTTGTACAAATCTCTTCCGCGGATCTTTGAAAGGACTGCAAATGCCCGACCAAAGGGACAAGGTCAAAATTTTATTTGTTTGATTTGAGGGTGGAAGCAATCATTGCTCAGAAATAAGTGGTTTGGGAGCAGTGCACCTCCGGAGAAAAACAAAACTTAACAAATTGCCTGACAACTGGCATTTCATTTCGTCAGGGACTCAATTCTGTTTGACTACCACCACGGGGAAGGGGGCGCGGAGTACTCCGGGAAAAGTGGGGATGGGGTGTGCGGCGCACTTCCTAAAACCCTTACCCTATTTACGACTAAAATCTGAAATTTTTGCTACCCTATTTATGACCTGACCAAAAATTCAATACCCTATTTACGACCGTTTCGGCTGGCAAAGTTGCCCTAAACATAAGTTCTGAAGGGCGTTTGCTGATGGTGTAATCGATAAGGAAGAAAAAGTAGCTTCTTCTAAGAAACATACCCAATTCAAGACTAGAGTGCAAAAACCATGCCCTATTTATGACCGAAACGGCTGAAAAATCACACCCTTTCGGGCCGCACATACCTATATAGCCTATATAAGGGCGTGCCCCCCCCCCCTGGACTACCACTGAGTTGGCTACGTTTTGATCTCTTTCAAACATTGTTATTGAATAATAATAACAGACAAGCCCATTCGAATTGAACGCCCTGATTCGGACGTTCGTATTTAAAGGTCTTGAAAAGTTCGTCAATTCATTTGTTTTCCTAACTCTCGGTATAGTTTGATAGCCAGCTCTATAACCTTTAATTTGATATGGGGCATTGGATATCTGCGGTTTGAACCGGACGCGCTACATCGCTTGGACGTGAGACCCCTCTAAAGGTATACGATAACCTTCAGAAAACAGATTCCACGCGCGCTCGGCTTGTTGGATAATGAAATAATTTTAGCCTAGCTATCAAATCATATCCAACGCATGCTTGTCAGTGGAATAACTGTTAAATATCCGAGAGGTCTAGTCACATATCAACTTGTGGGTTGAGATCTTGGGATCATAAGAGAAGAACTGTTCACTGTATTTACGGTATTTGTTACTATCATCCCCACGCCCCCTCCCTCCGCTCCTTCCAAAAAGGCAGATTTCATGACGGGAGAGGGAATTTTAATGTTAACTGAAGCATTGAGTTGGAACTATCCTGCGTAGCTCGCGGTTTAGTCAGTTTCCGTTTGGAAAAGGCCTTATTTAACCACGGCTTAAAGATTAAAAATACGTCTGGGTTACGGAGCTTGGTGGGATAAAATAATGGAAGAAAGAAGACAGCAACAGTACAACTGGTACTTTAACACAATACCTCTGTTTATTTCAGTGACTGTTTTGGTTCAGACGATAATTAACACATATTAAATAGACGGCATCTTTGAGTTTTGATTTGTTTAAACATTTCAATATAAATACAAAATGAAAGCGATTCGAAGTGTAATCTTACATGATTTTTGAGAACTAGTGTCCGTATTGTGTTAAGTCCAGAATGAATATGATGAAACAAAAAGAACGCGACAATCCTATGGTGGAAAGCTAACTTTAAAAATACTTCAACGCAAAACGAATCACATTGTATGTCGAGCGACTGACTGAGCTCTTTCACGTGTAAACAATTAGATTATGAGCTCGAGATTTCTATATCGCGTGATAGTTGACGAGGGCGCAGCCCAAGCCGACTATCACGCAAAGAAATCGAGAGCGAGTAATCTAATTGTTTTAGTATAAATCTACTAGTCATTCAAAACTTTATCTAAATATTCTTCACAGACTCTTCGAAAACGTCAAGAAGCGGCCCTCGGTTTGTTAACAAGGGCACACTGCTACGCTCCTCACCATCGATCACAGAATAGTTAGTGAGTAGTGTAGCCACTCAGAGAACGGCATTTGTGATAGAACGCTAGTAGATTTATACTAAAAGGTGATATACTATGCACGTACCAATTATGTTTGGTTTCATTAAAAAAATACAAAACTGTATTAACATGGCCAAAATGACCTTATCATTTGGATTATATCCTGAAGTTATGTCAGTTGCAATGCAACTGTTCCTTAAGTTGATTACACGTACTTATTTCACTGATATTGCTAAAGGTGTCTTGTCTTGATAAATAAAATATGTATTCTGAAGGCTTATTTGAATGAGAGAAGCTGAAATTAGATTCTCCACCGGTAACAATAGGCAGTCGATATATAAAAATATAGTGTCCAGAGTTGAATAGTATAAATATATAGTGTCTTGCATTTATAAAATCGAACAAAGTTTTACAAAGCAATCCTTTCTGTTTTACCTTGTCAATTCATTACGCAAGTTTTAGAAAATACTCTTCAGACTTAAGAACGATTCTTAAACGAAGCAAAACAGTATTTGAAAAATTTGTAGTTTATAATATGTTTCATACAACAAAAGCCACACTTGTAACACTTCCGAACAACGTTTACACCCCACCCCCCTCTGTAGCTAGTGCACGCTGTAATAAAAATAACTTTACCTCCATCTTGTTGGTAATTGCAGTCGTGCAAACATCGCTTGACCTATAAGCTACTTCTAAAACTTCGTTTAATTAATCGATTGTTGGATTTTGAGGTGATTCAGTTTTAAGAAGAAAATGTGCGACGAACAATTTTCTTCCTTTTTCTGTCGTCTATGACGTCACTCCTACCTGGCTGACTATCGTGGCAAACATCACCCACATACGTCACATCCACGTGTTTTCCTTTTTCTTTCCGGATGACAAATCTCACTTTCACGTTACACTCTGGTCGCTTGCATTCCGCTCCTCCTCTGAAGAACACCGCTGAGTGGATTTTCCGCGAGTTTTCTGATCTCACGTGATTATTCTTGAAGCGCAAACTGCACCATGGGTTGCTTTCTTTAACTTTGCTGAGGAAGATTCGCGTCCAGTCGCCACTCAACAATCGGCCGCCGCTTGGAAATGTGTTGATTGGAATTCTCGCCCAGTCCTCTTTCGTCAACTTAAATCTTGCGGTTGTTCCATCGATGTTCTTACGAAAATACTTTTTTTGTTTTCTGTTTCCATCATCATCAGATGAGTCTGAATCATCCGAATATTCCTGGAAACATTTAAGATAAGCTATTATACACACTTAAAATATCCAATTAGTTATTTAACTTTAATTGTTAAAGAGAATAATAATAATAATAATAGAATAAGAATAATAAGAGAATCCATAAAAATAAGAGAATCCACCAGAAAAATAAGTAAAAAGTGGAAAAAGCTTTGTACGAAGAGTATTTACATCTATTGTAAACTTCTAGGCGACTATTTTAAATATTTTCTCAAAAGAAATCATTTCTAACAACACCAATGTCGAAAACAAATTTTGAAGTTCATAAGAAACAATTGAAAGTACTGGTGAAATGAAAATGATGATGAAATTTTACCTGTGTTTGCATATTTTCTCGGAGCTTTGAAATTTATTTCCTCGAGTTCCCATGGAAAATGTTTTGGGTGTTATTTCAGGCAACTGTTCATATTTATAGCTCATAGAAAATGCAAACAGGACTGTAATGTACTTAACATTATTCTGGTACAAGTTTTTTGTCCACTAAAAACTGAGATTGCTCGATTTCCTATCGGATTTCGTCATTATCTTTAAGACAAGCCTTAACAAAGAGAAAATACATGTAAATAATGAAAGAAATCCGAAAGAAAGAAGGAAATCAATAAAAGCTCTTACCATTCTCTGTTCAGCAAAATCCTGTCGTGAATAATCCAGATTTCTCAAGGGCATCATGTAGGAAGTGGAATCAACCTGTTTTCAAATAGTAAAGGAATTTCTTTAATTAAGTACAAATACGGATTGCAGCTTGGTGCATGCAGCTGCTAACAACACGCAGTAAAACGGAATTGCCATTTGTCTTTAACTACACTTCAACTGAAATTTCAACGAGTGTCACATTTTAACCTACAAATAAAAAGGGTACAACATGATGCCACAGGCACACCTAGGGATTGAAGCTTGTGCAGTAATAGGCCATTTCCGAATTACCTTTAGCCTTTTTCTTAAAGCGAATCTTGGTGTTCATCCCTTCATATGAAAATGAGTTTTCATTCACATGCAAATTAAACTGATTTTCGTATGAATGGTTGTGCGCCAGGCCTCGCTTTGATAGAGAGGCATAAGGCAACTCCGAAATGGGCCATTAGGCGTGCAGGGAAATACGGCATTCCCGTTAAATAAAGAGTGGAAAGTGGCAAGCATGTATGGTGGAAAGGTTCGGATATGGGGGCTACTTACGGGTACAGTCAGATTACAAGTACATGTATTGACCGACTAATTTGGTAAATGTTCAGCTTACACCAGGATACTCAGAAGATCGTCAAGTGTGACAAAAGAATCCTTGATACAGGAAGAGCTTTACCTGACTCTTGATTATTTTAAATATCTCAGTGATTGTCGATCAAAGTGACGTTGCTAAACCAGACCTTGGAACACAAACTTATGACCCCATCAAAGAAGACTTTTTGTGGTATTCCTTCGTAGATGATGGGAAGTGCATCCAAACAAGGAGTAGTTTAGAGAGACCTTGACATGTCTTACACTACTACATCATTTCACATGGAGACCAATCCTACCCACCATTTGCAACTATTTGAAACAATTTACAACACCGATTCAACTAAGAGTTTTTATAATTTATGTTGTTTGAAATTTTCATGGTACATTAAACTTGCATTTGGAGGATTGGATTTGAAAGAATTCTACCTACAATCAATCTACCTAAACTACGCCCCTGAAAACAACTAAACAGTACATTACCTTATATGGCACATGGGATAGCGCTGAAGCAGCGGTGGGACGATTGACGGGCACCATGATAACTGAAGGGCGTGGCGCTTCCAAACCAAAAGCAGGAAAGTGTGAAGATTCGTTTTGGGCATGACAACAACAATTACAACTGAGGGTACCCCTTTGTTTGTTTGACATCATACCATGGGAGAGAGGCTTGGTTAGTTGTGGACTGTGTGAATTGTAGCCACCATGATACGCGGACATTTCGTTGTGGTGGTTCATCTGATAATACATATTTGCTTCAAGTTGGGAACCTGGCATGTCTCCGTGGGTAGCCATGTGATAAAGAGGTGTGGTCATATAAACTGATGGAATGTTGGTAGACATCTGCTGAGTGGACACAATCTCAGGAGTACCATTCTGGTAAGTAGACAATGTCCCCTCTGTATCAGCCTGATAAAGTGATAACGTGCCATTGGTACTTATTTGATAAGCTGACGACGGGTATTGGTTACTTATCTGTGAAATACTTGGAGTATGGCTAAGATGGTTAGATGGTAATATCTCAGGTTCGTGGGAATTTAATGTGAAAGACATTCCTCTTTCTTTTCCTGCTGTTTCGGTTAGTGGATCCCCATTAAGGATGCTTGACTGATTCACTGAAGCGCGCACTTCGGTTTCCACTGGATACCTTTCCTCTTGGCTTATCATGTTCTTTGACAGCTGTCCATCAGGAACACTTTCTGCCAGTGGACTTTTCGTATTTGGGTCGACTTCAAATCTTGGTTGTGTTTTTTGGTTGCTCGACTTATCCACTTGACTTGCTGTCTGATTAAAGGCCAACCGTTCGTCCTCAACAGCGCTGTTTTTCATCTGACCATAATTACTAACCACAGGTTCATTTTTGACAACGTTTTGATCAGATGTTGCTCCTTGGACGTTACTTATTTGAATATTGAGTACATCTTCTTCAGTGTTGATTTCTCCAAGTGAAGGTACTTCATAGACTATCTCCTGTGGCAATAAAATTGTTTCTTGACTAACCGTGTTGCAAGGTGAACTTAATTTCTCTGTCTTGACAACAGACATCCCGTTAATGGAGATCACTTCACTGCTGTGCCCATTGCAACTTGACTGGACACTTTCCACCTTGATTGGACAACCATTCGTGATATCATTTAAGGAGTACATGGCGGCACTTTGTTGCTATCCCTGTTGATTGGTCACTTGTCTATGCCAAGTTTAAACTGTGGAGAATAAGAAGCATTCAGTGAAAAAAGGTGTTCAGAGAAATCAGTACATTTAACAGCATCATAACACACCGGAACTCACACATTGTGTCTCCTCGTGCGAGGGATTTTTACGTGCGCTCGCGTGCTCGGTCATTCGACCAACCCAACCAAGGATTAAGTAATCGAAATCAAGAACGATTTTCATTTGCGTGTCTACAGTAATTCGCATTTAACGATTGGCTCAAAAAACTCGCGCCACCTTAGGCGTACGGGCACCTTCGGACTTGGGGGGGAGGTGACCTTATTCCCCGCAAAAATTACGCAATGCCCGAAAGCGTGAGTGTTGTTCAAACGCACTCAAATCGCAGTAAAAACAAAAACGTTCACACGTCTAATGAAACTGTTATCATTCCAAAAAGAGTTGTTTTGAAACCTCGCATACTCTATGACCTCAATCATGTCACGAAACCATTGCGGTGTAAAATTTTCCTGCCCGTCTTGTGGCTTTTGTCAGTTCTAGTTTCTTTGTTAAACTCTTACAGCTCTACTTCCCACATAATCCGCCTAGACATTGGTTGCATTAAAAATGTTTCCTATACTATACGTGTGCGCCGGTTATTTAACTTTGAATGATGATAAAACGTCAGTAACGTAGATCTCGTGATATCAGTGCAAGAATTTATATTTAGTGCTAGTAAATGAGCCTCGGCCTGTCTACTGTAAACTACATGTAACCCAAATCAAGGACCAAAATAAAACAGCACGACACGAGCCAAATCGATACTGCATGTCTTTTAGTGGTACCCTCAGGGGCACCCAACGAAGGTTCACTTAAATGCGTAAATACACTGTTTTAGGCTATCTAGAGTGCTTTCTAAAGCTCTGCAGGTTAATTTTAAGCTGCGTTATATATGTTGTTTATCTGTCCTGTCATTCTAGAATCTTCTTGAATTTATTAGCTAAGGGCTTTTATGTCCATTTCTAGATGTAAGACATTAGCAGTTGTGGCCTTTCTCAGATCATAGGTGGGCTTTCTTTGGTAACCACAGACATTTTATCAGTCATTATATTTCGCATATCACGAAAATTCGAGGAGCTCATTCACTTAAGAAAATCGGAGGAGATTAAAGGTCTTCCGAACAGATAAATTATCCAAACAATCCGTTGGGTGCCCTGCACTTTGTCCCGGATTCCTAAGGACTGTATTTGGCTCAAACAAATCTCGCCACTATCACAAACAAATTGTATTAATTAACTTTATCGCGTCCACCTTCCTTACATCAAAGAATAACGTAAATCGGAGAATTCGTAAAATTGAATGACATAAGATTTGAGCATTTTAATCAGCACTAACAATAATTTATTCTGGAGGTCGTAGAGTGTGATCGTGTATTATTCTATATGAATAACAATTCCCACTAACTGTTTAAAAACATATTATAGAGGTTTTGTAAATGCTTAAACAACCTTACAATGAATTTGGATTGGATTTAAGACTGGAATTAACATGGACAAGTGCGAAAAGAATATTCTTATGCAAGTCAGTTTTCTTAGAAAAAAACAATAATATTAATCGGTCAGAATTTAAGTCACTGAGAACAAACACGAAATCATACAAACTCTGTTCACTCGAGCTGACTCGCCAGGCATCAAGCAATTGACTCTGATCAACACGTGTTCACATGGACTGTGGACATTCCAAATGCGAGAGGCTGTTTGAGCTGCAGGACAATTTTGCAAACTTACGTTTGAGTGACTTTCGATGTTACGCTCTCATCAATTTGCAGCTGAAGAGCGGTGGAATGCACATATCAAGTGCCACGATGGAAAGACGTGAAACGCAACACCGATAACACGTCTGGGCAAATATCTTTACCTCGTCGTAAAACGAAAACACATTACTGAATGTTATCATCGCTACGCTTTTGTTCCTCCTGCCCATTATTACCTCCGTATTCATTTAGAATAAGTTATCGACGGGAGAACGTACCAATTAAAACAAAACGCAGACGTTGTGGACTCTAGCATTGCTAGCATGTAGAAGCAAACCACACAGGACTGGATTACGAACGGAGCAATCGATGCTCTTTTCTACAGAACACCACCACCACAGAGGTTAAACCAGTGCTGTGAAGCTCAGTCTCGACAAGCTTGCCACGACCCGAAGCCACAAATATGTAAATTATATTTGAAAACAAGTAAGACTCAGCCATGGGTATCTGTATCACGCAAAAACATCTTCAGCAAACAAAAATCTACACTTTGAGTACAACACAGCACAAAGGACAATTTCCTCACAAAGTTATCATGGCAGTGAAAATTTCCGAGTTCAATTTAGTTAACATGGCACACATCGGTAGGGTCAAAACTCATGGCCTCAGGGGCTTCTTGGCTTGCCCTCGTGTGTTGCTATGAGAGCTAAAGAAAGTTACAAAAAATGTCAGCTCTTGTTTCTCCAGCCTTTTCGAAACCTCAAACGGGCAGAAGAACGAGTTATTTAAACATTGGAAAACAAAAGGTACGTGAAATTTTCAGCAAAATTCTCATGTAAGAATCCGCTTCCTCTCTTTGCATATTTTACTGCGATACTGAGCGAGCTTTCAATAACTTTGAATAGCCTCTTGTTTAATTTGCCTTTTGACTTGCTAACCATGACACAATAAGTTACCAATATTCCATACCCTTCACACTCTTGGAGACCTCTAATCCACGAGGAACACTTGTTTTCTTCCAATTCTAACAGTCATTTGTTGAAAAGCGAAACACGATCGAAAGAATTTGTTCTTCTTGTAGCGCGGCGTGACAAATTAGTATTCAAATGACAGTCGCGTCTTGTGTTAATAATTACGTTTTGCATCACAAAACATGCTTTAACGCGCTCTTTTGAAATAACCCATCACCTCAGCTAAGGAAAACACAATAAAGAGAAATAAGTGTTGTTGCCTTCACGAAGAAATCATTTGTCGCTTCCTAGCGCCCATAGGAATACGATTCCGCGCTTCATTCCGCTACTTGTGCTACAAAGCATTCGAAGTGCCTGATAGTGTTCAAATTCCCTGTCAGTACACGAATGAACAAAATCATCTGAATCTGAGGAATTTTGCCCTCCCGTTAAAACGTACCTGATCTGAGTTGTGTCAGCAACGCTGATTAAAAATTTAAAGGTATTGGAACTCTCTGGCGCTAGATGTAAACTCAGTTTGGGAGGTGACTTTTACAAAGCACGTTTACCATCAATTACAACACAACGGATTTGATAGCCACAATCAGCAATGTAGAATATTTGCAAGAATAAGCCTTCGTCGAAGGCAACGTAATCCATTTGCTAAAGTAGTAAGCTGCTGAGTATTTCAAATACTTACAAAGATTGTTTGTCCAAGGGGCAAACCTCGGTGACTAACCTTTCATGTGGAGCGCACACTGTCGTGGGAGCATAATTATTCATGTCAGCCAGTGGGCACATGCGCGCTGGATGTGCTGGGGTAAATCAATCATTGCGTTTCACTGAACTCAAAGGTCATCGTAAATCAGCATGTTGAAATGTCTTTGACACAGTGTCACTTCTCAAAGAACCTCGTGACCGTGACTTATCGAGTTTCATCCAACTTTACTCACGTTCGCTTTGTTTAGCTGTTTACCTTGTGTGTTTAACCCATTTGCAAATAAATCCAGACCCTTTCACAACTTTTACGTTGAAGTACTAAGGTCGACGGCTACTCCTGTCGTCGGAACCAAAACGATGGAAAACGTTTATAACAATAAAAAATAAACCCGCCCCCTCCCGCCACCCCCCCCCCCCCGCCTCCCCGTTTCTCCATCCAAACACAGCTTCATCATTTTGGGTATTCGGGTTCAGATGTCAGTACGTGCATGCACGCTACCAAATACGTGAGCACATGTAATGCCATTATTTTCCTCCTCAAAAGCAACATTTTCTAATAAAACATAACCAGGACGATGAAATATCGATTAGTCGAATAGAATATTTAGGAAGCCGTTTATAAAGTCAATTCGCACCGAATAATGATAACAATATTGTTTATCACTGGTGAGCTTGGGCTCATAAGTAGTGGCTCAAATCTTGAGAAATAAAGGCAATATTAAACAAATATTTAGTTCTTTTCCTCCTCAATAGGGCATTTCAAGTATATTTAGCGCATAATATACATAACGTTGCTGCTGAAATTCAATGCAGATTTCTTATCAATAAGAAATCAACATAGTTGCATCGGGTGGTGGTTCATAATCCTATTTCACGCATAAAGTACCCCCTCTTTCGTACGCTCATGTTTACCGAACTCACGCGTCACGCATAACGCACGTTCGATGCAGATTTTAAAAATAAACGAGTGAGGTATGCTCAGATGACTCACATGATGATCACTTATCCCTGACCGGTATACTAATCCCTGAGCGGTGGAGGGAAAGTCATGGGAAAGTCATCCAATAAAGTTTTATTAAGGGTTCCGCCTCGAGAACGTACCCTACCCAATTACATGCCATTCAACTATTGGGATTGGGAGGGCAATATACGGTATCTTCCGTGTAAAATAGTAACTTCTTATACCTATTGTTGATAAAAGCTGATCAAAGGCGAAGTGAAGAGGGGTTTTGGCTAACAGCCGAGAAAGTCAGTTTACTTAAGTTTCACTTTCAAGCTGAGTCTCGATCCGTCTTATTATATTGTTCAGTTGTTGCCACTTGCAAGTTGTACTTGACAGTGTAAATTCATAAGGCCATCCCTGATCCGCAGAAGAAGTCACAACATATAACAAAGGGGTAATTTCACGGCTCGATGCATTGTGAGCGTTGGCCCATTTATTGCCATTGTTAGCATGAAGCAATAACTGGAACAAGCTGATGACTCAGTGCAGAATTGACTCCTTTGAAGAATTCTCGGGAAAGCGTTGCGATAGAAGAGATAAACGCCAGACAAACTATTGAGCTGCCTAGGAGGGAAAGTGAATTCACTTAACTATTTATCAACCTGAATTTGCTAAAGGCAGGATGGGCTGTTAAACTTAACAGCCATTGTGTCCATTGTTTCTGAATTAGTCAGATGCGAGTAGATCCGGGGCGTAGATAAGCCCGAATGTTGAATTAGTTCGGTGTTTAATTCTAATAACTACAATTTTGTTTATCTGTTGATATCTTCCGTAAAACCTACATGAGCATTTGTCGTTCTGTTTGCAGGAAAGGCGCGATAAAGCTTGCACATGCGCCGAACCATGAAACTTTGGAAAATTTCAGGTTTAGTAGGTCTGTTCAAAACATTGTCACTGCTGTCTACTCCACAGGCATTTTTTATTTGTTTTTTCTTAGCCGCAAGGGGCGACTAGTTAATTATTATATTTTTTTACTATCGCGCGGGCGACTAGGGTCAACCACGTTTGAAAAAAAATATGTCCGCAATGCGTACATGCGTGCGCTCCTGAAGGAGCTTGTTTTCCACGCTTTTGGGTTGCGTGACATCTATCATAGGCCAGATTCTTATCTTTATTCATTGAAAGTTGCAATCTCAACAAAATCAACAATGCTTGCATATGGCGGACGACTGACGAGGCTCGATGAGCGAAACATATTTCGAGCTACCGCGGTTTACAGTTCTTATTCAGTTTTTACATGCTTACTTTTTATGATTTTGAAAGTTTAAGTGCGTCGAATGTGAACAGAAGACGTGATGTCTTCGTCTTATTCTGCTCGTTATTCCAACACATTCCTGGCCTCGGCGAGTCAAATTTCCCGGACTTACGTAGTGAGAAAGGGTTAATAAAAAATATAAACGAAAGGGAAAAACCTATATTTGACAATTTCTCAGAGATTTTCAATAACAGCCCGTTTCCAACAAAGGAATTGAGAGCCTGTCTATTAACAAATTGACGCCAGTTTTTTATGCGTCTGTCCTCTTATTGTGATAAATTGCGTCATAACATTATCAAGGTGGTTCCACAGTAAACTTTGACAATGTCATAACGCAATTTATCATCAATAAGAGGACAGACGCATAAAAAACTGATGTCAATTTGTTTTTTACAATAACAAGACCCCAGAATGGTCAAATGCTGGGAATAAATGAGGAAAAAGACGCCTTAAACTTGCCGTAAACAAAGATAAATGAATTTTATTCAATATGACGCGAACATTGTCAGGAGCTTTTCCCGCTTTTTGATTGGCTACTTGAAAAAGTCCATAAAATCTCATTGGTTAAAACGTTGACAATTTATTTGACAGCTGAAAGTTGAACTAGAAAGCTTGCATAAATTAAACTATTAGCCGTCTGCACTCTTATTGATGATAAAAATGAGCCCATCATCGCGCGAGAAATTAGACAGTTATTGTAAGAAGAGGTTATAGATAGGATCGACCTGGGACTGAGTACAGTGGAACCCCGTTAATTAATTGCGTTCGAGAAAACGCAGTTCTAATCGGGTAATGCAGAAAAATTCGAGTTTTTGTTTATGTATCTATGGACACCAATTTAGCCCCCCCCCCAAAAAAAATTCTTCAGGGCCAAATGACGTCATTTCCAATTTCGTCCATGTGCTTTCTTTTGGACCAAAAAGTTTGTTTAAATAT